CCCACCCCTCGATAGTGACTGTCCTTGACTTTTATTTATTGTCATTGCAAAACATACAGCCAGTGGAAATTGTCGTCTTTGAAATAGGAAGGAATCCTTTTATCCGAAGGGTCAAAGACATTCTTGGAATAAACGTACGGTTTCCGATATTACTTCCAGATATTATTTCAGCTTCTATAACACGTTTACCCAATGCAATAACCCGTAACCTCGTGCCATTTGCACAATCCGCATTTTTGATCAATATTCCTTAGTAACATAACCGGAACACCGACTTTTAAAAACCAACTTGTGAATTGGCATACCTGAAGGTCTAAGACCATTTAGAACATCAGGAGAGTATAAAGTTTCATCAACTTCATCATGAACAAAATCAGCATGAGAAAGAGTATCTGAACTTAAATACTCTTGTGGATCTCCTAGAAATAATTTTTAACAAACGCTCGTTAATCTCTTCAACGACTTCATTCTTCAGTGCGAGGATTGCTCTTTTCTTGAAAATAAATCGGATTGTTGGCATTTTCAACAATAGAAGGATAACAAATCCAATAAAGAACCAATAGGATCAACTGAATCAACAATGAGAAGATCTGTGGGAACTCAATAATTGCCTCGCCATCATTCAAATCACCAACTTTTCCTTCTCCTATATCCAAAATCCATTTTGCAAAAGATTCAGTTTCTTGAATATCAGATGTGAGAACACTTAACCTCATGTTTTTTTTGTTAATGTTAAGACTTTGCAACTTGACCAAATATAAGAGGAACTTAAAGAAGCGTTCACAATGTCTTGCCTGCTTCCATTAGGACAACTGGTAGAATTTGTCTAAAATCGCCTCCAAAGACAAGGTTTTTCCTCCAAATGGCAATTTTGAGTTTCCACACGAAAATCACAACTCAATATATCTTTCAAAGAACGATCCAAGGCTTCAAATGCATGCTTATGAATCATAGGTGCCTCATCCCATATAATCAAAGATGTTTTTTTTTAACAATTCGGCTACATCACTATCCGGGGCAAAAGAACAAAAGGAATCCTCAGTTAGATTTAGAGGAATTATAAAGCGTGAGTGTGCTGTTCTACCTCCGGTTAGTAACAATGAAGCAATACCACTTGAAGCAACATTTAAAACGATATCACCTTTAGATCTTATAGATGCAGATAAAGTCTTCCAAAGAAAAGTTTTACCGGTACCTCCCATAGCCATAAACAAAAAAACACACCTCCTTTTTTCTGTTTAACAGCTGTCATGATTTCATCAAAAACTGATCGTTGTTCAATTGTTAATGAATCAAGTAGTTGATGAGATTCTTGTTGTAGACTGTTCATATCAAAATCTAACTCCTCAGTAATCAAACGGTTGTTTGAAGAAGATAATCGAATCATGATCAGGGTAAACATCCCAACAAAATCTTTAAGGCTTGAATTGTTTTGGAGTAGAATTTTTCAATCTCATATAGCGTCAAGTTTTTAAGTTGATCGTCATTAAGGGATAAACCTATACAATTGCAGAGTTAATTATTAAAAGATAAATACAGACAATTATCACGTAATAAAAATAATGTGTATAAAAACTTTTAAATATTATAAGAAACATATAAATTTCAAATAATAGTATATTTAGCATTTAAAATTATATAAGTAATGCAAAATGTAATGAATGACAAAAATAATAATACCTGGAGACTTTAATCTTATTCGTTGATTGTAGAGAATTCCATCGGATAAGTATGACAAGTATTTTCCAAACATAACACGGTTTAGACAAACTATTAGACTTTAACATAGTTGCAAATAGAAACCGTAAATAATAACCAGATCCTGAATGACTTGCTTCCTCGATGGCATCAATATATTCTCTATCATCTTCTAAAAGTCCAAGAGCATAACATGCATCCCTAAAAGTAGGACATACTTGTCCGTTAACTGTACGAATATCTGGAAATGATTTTGGACCTTTGACTTTATTTAAAGAATTCTCAAAAAATATGCTTCACCGAGATGAAGGTGAAACTGTGTGAATCCTCCCAATAGAAAACCCTTTCTTTCTTGGCTCCCAACAACGATCTTCTTGTTTCCATACAAATTTGTAGGAAACTCAACATAAGAAAGTTTTCGTGCATCCTCATTATGTTCATTACAGCTCATCCAAGATAAGAACATCGAAGAAGAAACAGATTGTTTGTTGAGGACATCTTCAATATCATCATCTGCTCCGTATACAACATTTTTTTTCCAGGAAGATGGAACGGAAGCCTTACAACTGAAGGATATCTGTAATGAACATCAAATCCATATATACCCATGAAGCTTCACACGCAGACAAATACCTACAATCATAGTAGTATTTATTTCATCAACCGGAGCATCATCATTATCACCTCCGTTGTTGTTTTGTGCAACTTCAACAGTAGCCCGATCAGGACCCTTGTTAATATATTTAAACAAATATTTGATGGAAGCCGCTTGATTGCACCACTCAACATTAATATGAGCTTGATATCGTTTCAAAAGGGTTTTGTGATATGGAACAACACTTCTGTTGTCTAACTTAACACCTGACTTTTCTATAAAAGATCCATCATTACGTCTCCTATACATAGGATAACCATTTGAATCAACGGAAGTATTCTCCAAGAATGGCTTCGGGAAGTTTTTCGAACACTTGTTTTCACTCATGCATGGGCATTTTGGATTATCAGAACCACATGGACCATGCATCATGAACTCACTGACAAGTGAGTACAATTCTGGATCATCATCTTTGTTTGGAATTTCTGCCGAAATAACTCGATCAATATGTTCAACAGTAGGGAGTTTGTAATCAGGGTGCATGAATAAACATATATGTGCGTGAGGCAGACCGCGCTTTTGAAACTCCACCGTATAAACAACTGTATATTTAAATAAATATATATATAAATAATAAAAAACATAAAAAAAACATTTTAATAACACTATTATTGTAATATATGGTACCTGCTTGCTTGACCAAACCCAATAACCTCTTCTTCTTTAAGTCTTTAATCAAAGAATCCAACTTAATTTTGAATAATCTAGAAAGGATATCAGGCCTATCTTCGGGATTAACTGTGGTGTCAGCTAGAAACCTTTTAATTTCAGGCCATTTTGGATTGCATGTTACGGTTATGAAAAAATCTGGGTATCCAAAAACTTACAAAGCGACATGGCATCTAAATAGTTTTGCATCATGTAGCGTGCACCACCCGTAAAAGAAGAAGGCAAGATAACACGTTTTCCAACATTGGAAATATCAGTATTACCATGACTTTGTACACTTTTTAAAGTTTCATAAGATTCGCATCTAAGAACTTTTTGCTGGTTGCGTATGTAAGTCTCTCTCAGTTTCAATCATCGTATAAGCATCAACCAGAAATTGTTGAAAAAGCCTTCTTGAATTAAGAATTAATGAAAAACATTAACTCTGTCTTGAATTCTATAAGCAAAGAATTCTCTCATTGTACAAAACGACGTTTGGTATTAGTTGAAGGATCAACATCCCTGTGAGGTATATCAACTCTATATCCATCATCTCCATATGGAAAGAGTAGTGGGTACTGAAGACCAAGGTAAGCCCGATGTAATTCGTTTATACGTTGTAGACTTCCTGATTTAGTTGTTACGATGATATCTCTATTATCAATTGCATCGCCAATGTCACCAACAATTAAAGCAGCAACCTCAGAAGCAGTAGGTAAGTTATATGTCCTTCCATCTTGTTGCCTTCTTCCTATAAGACGTAACTTTAGATCTATATGAGGATTTTCATCAAAACAGTCTCTGGCCATTCTATAACACTTAACCAACTCATTGGTCGAATCCAACATGTCCTTCAAAAATCTAATGATTTCAATATCAAGAGAATGAGAAGTTGATGTGCAACCTTCGTTCTGTGTACTGTTAACAACAACGGTTATATGTAAAATTTAGCAAGTAAATAATTATATCAAAATTATAAAGTAATGGTTTATAAAAAATTAATAAAGTTATACCTGAAAGCGCGTTGTCTATTTGTTATTTCATTTTCAGTATCATATATGTATAGTTGTGAAAACTTTGGTTTGGATCCGTCTATAGGTAAAAGACTTCACATACAATGGTAATTTTGACCGCTAAGTCTGAAAACATATGGAGCATTGCCCCTATTAATGGAAGAATCAACTTTTCCACCCATTGAAGTAAAGGAAAACATCGAATTGAATCGACGAATATTCTTCATGAAATTTTTTCCTTTTGGATCAACATTACGAAAGAGATTTTGATAATTTGTTGGAGCTTGTTTTAATTGAGGAAGCTCGACTTTTCCGTTACCCCCACACATGGAATAAGAAGTTTTTCTTTCCGGAAGTATTGCCTTTAAGAGCTTCATATGTCCATAATTGTGCATGACACATCGTACACACAAATGTCTGGTCACCATGGTCCAAGTAATCTGTTTAATAAAAACATTTGTAAAACTTTGAAATAATTTAATGTTGCAACAAGTAATAATTTAAATATAAAAGGGGATTATAAATAAAAATTAATATTTTCCTTTTGCAATACCTGATATTAACTGTTGACGGATTTGTTGATCACGTAAATCTTCATCTGATGTTAGGTCCAAAATGGGTATCTGAGATATATTTGGAATCTTTCTTTTTCTATTTAGTTTTCTGCATGATAAATTGCTCGAAGAAGCTTGAGTGACTGAAGATGAATTCGTAGCTCTCATGTCACCGGACAAGGTAGAATATTGTGCATTACTAACAATAAAAGTATGACAATTAGTATTAAACTTATAAAGTAAATATATAAAATAAAAAATAATAAAAAAAAATGAATACATATTATTTTATGTGTACCATATATAGTAACAAACAGTAAGTTGAATATAAACGTAGTCGTACCATTCGAAATGTTGGACAACGGAGTTCTTGTAAAAAATCAGAAGCATATTGAAAATGTTGTTGATCACGACCAACATTACCTATCAATAAAAGATAAGTTCATATAAATATGTATTAATTAGGGAACAATTAAGAAACATGTAAAATAACATAGTATCTTATTACACTATTTAGAATAAGTTTATATGGATACAATAAATTAGTAAGATGCATGATATATATCATATACCGATTGGTACGGTGGACATGTGATTGGATCTTCTTGTATCCAAATAAATTTTCCTTTCTTTTCGTTTATCTTTAGCCTTGTTCGACAATGGACTGTCGATATAAATATTCGAAATAGACTGAACCCGTGTTTGCTGATATCCACATGACAAAGTTGGGCTAACATTTTCATTGTTACCAACAATATTGACAAACTTGGTTGATGAAGGTGTTTGAATGTTGGTAGTTATATTAGAAAGCACTGTAAAATAATATAAAATATGTAAGTTATAATGCAGATATAAATAAGTGTAAGTTACATATAATAAGAAAAATAAAAAATTTAAATGATATAATTAGAAATGATATATATATATAATATATATATATATATATATATATATATATATAAGCAATTTATAAAATAATAATGTTTAATTAATTGCAATGTAGCAAAGAGTGTAGGTAATACATAATAATATTTAAGATCCAGAGGACTGTGTGAGATTAAAAATATAGTATAAAATAAAATTAGTCTATCCGATAAAAACGATATACCATTAGATGATGTGGACATATGATTAGATCTTTTCTTATCCAAATATAATTTTCTAAGTTTTCTGTTCTCTCTAGCAGCATCAGACAATGCATTTCTAATATTAAAAGTTGAAGTAGATTGGAAACTTGTATGTTTATGCGGATGATATATTTGGATTCAAATTTTCATTGTCATCGCGAATATGTGTACAATTGTTTGAAGATGATAAATGTTGCCGAGAATAACCTACATTGAATATATAATAATAAGAATGGCTAATTAGAAAATGCAATGATTATATGAGATAAACGTCAGAAGATATAAAACAATATTTGTTCAACAGCCGTCATATAAAACATTACTGAATATGAAAGTAAATTGAGATGTAGATAAAGAATTACCAAATGACAAGTTGGACATAACATTGGATCTTCGTTGATCCAAATATAATTTTCTATATCTGCGCCTTTGTTTATGTTCGTTTGAATCCATATCGTGTTTGTAGCTTAAGAACAAAAAAAATTATGTAATAAAAAGTATATTGACAATAATTTCATTAAAATTTAAAATTGAAAATTATAATAAACGGAGACATTAATACGATTAATATATAGTAGTTAAAATTTGGTAATATTTAAGAATTGTATACTTTACATTAATAAAATCAAGACTTCCAACAAAGAAGTGTATATTAACATAACAACTAAAATAAGATTTTTATCAAAAAACTTAATTTTAAAAGATTTAGGAAAATATAGATAAGCATATATATTAATACTTGCATCAAAAAATTTATATTCATTTGATATAACAAATAAAGGAAGGATTTCATAAATAATAAAAATAAGAAAAGAGAAGGAAAACCCGTTTTTTAGATGAGGCCGTCAAATGTGTTGCCAGAATGTCGATTTTTGACCTGGTTTAATATAAGATTCAGCACAAGAGATTAAGAGATTAATAAGACAAAGATACAGAAAGATTCATTGAAAATGACAAAAATACCCTTATGTAAAATGGATATACGTTCATTAAAAAAGTTAAGCAAGATTCTTTTGTCTTCTTACATGCTATGCTTAATGAAACCACTGAAGTTGTCAAGTATATTTATATGTATTTTTTTTAATTGGAAGTAGATTGAATCTATGCAAAAACACATTTAGGTCAATATGGACCAAATGTGCAAAATAGTGAACATTTTATTGTAAAAATGACGCTTTTGACCCTTGGTCATACATCAATGATAATAGTTGGGGACAACAAAAGTATTAGTATTTTTCAATTTAATTAATGAACATCAAAACAATAAAAAGTCACAATAATAGTGATAATAGATCATTCCATTATTTTTCCTGTTTCCATTCCATCACACAAACCAAATATAACCACTTTCAAATAAGTAGGAAAACACATAAAACAACACAGTTGAAAAGAAACATGCATAACAGTTAATTATTTTTTTAATTAGATTGCTGTAAATGGTTTCAAGTTTGAATCTCAATGTTGAAAGCAAGGACTTAGGATGGAAAACAGGGTATAGTAGTTCATTATCAAAGAATGGTCAGTTGTAATGTTCTGCAATTCATCATCAAGTTGGACACACAGGAACATAAAAAATGTTAAGCAGGTACACACACACATACACATTGATAAACATAAACTGATGTTAAAAAAACAACGCACACATTAAAAAAACACAAAAAGAAACAAAAGATAAACAAAAAATTTGAAAGTAGTTTTTTATAAACTTACAGAAATGATTGAACTCTGTGATTGTGATTCAAAACACAATTTTCCACTGTGATGATGCAAAAATTTGGAACACGATGTTGTAATAAACTCAATATTTCAAGAGACAGTGATAACAGATGAATTAGAATGAGTTATACATAATAAGTAATTTATAAAAATTATTTTTGGAAAGGATATCAAAATTTGGTTTGAAATTATAGAGTATTCCAAAATTTTAGCTGTCATGAATCAATCTTTGAAACGTTTCCCAAGTTAGCGTGATATTGAAAGGGATTGACCAAATTGTTCATGATTATAATTGCTCTATGTCATTCTAATAGTAATTCCTGCATATTAGGCACTAACTTCTTACATTATAAAATCAATTTAAAAAAAAACGTAAATGAGGATTCCATAAATTAAGCTACTATATAAAGATAGAAAAATTAAAATTCATGAAAACAAATATCTTCCTTTTTAAAATAAACATCTGTTGCATCATATCACAATTAAAAGTTTTGGAAAATTGTAATATACAACTATACTATTGTTATTTATAAAATTATTATTTTATCACTTATAGTGGCCATAGTGGTGACTATATTTTTGTTATTTATAACATTATACAACATTTCTACTTTTGATATTTTAAGTTGTCAAACCGTGTAAAACACGAGCTTTAGGCTAGTATTTGATATAAATAACAAAATTGACTATGCAAATTATGAGATTTAAAATGTAGCATAAAATTACTTATACATCAAGTCAAATTATGTATAAGAATCATGGACTGTAAAAGAAAGTTGTGAAGATTTAAATATATATCCAATAATAAGAGTAAAAAATTCTTTGTATTTGGATGACCGGTTAAATTTTGTTGTAGGATGTGAAAGAGACTACTAATAAAAATGCCTTTATTAACCGAAATATAAAGACGATTATGAAAAAATATGAATGTAATGTCCAAATATAAAGTGCAATATAATGATCCCATAAAGAGTCAAATCCAAGTTGCTTATAATAAAAGAAAAAGTAAAACCTAACACGAATGAATATTCATAGTGTACCAAACACTAAATATTAAAATCCCAAATAAAATGCAAGTAAAAGTGCCAAATATTAAAAAAAATGTCTAAGAAAATAGCATAGAGTAGCAAAGAAAGATCGAAGTTATTGTCTTCATAAACAGGATCACTTTTCAACTTTAGGAATCAACAATTTTGTTGTTCCACCAACTTTGCCATCTCCAATACGGGGTGCGTTAGGTTTCGTTGCTGATTCATAAACGTCATCATCAAGATCGTAAACATCTACAAGTTTACGTTTGGCACTTGTAGGCGGTGAATTGAGGTTGTTGACTGTTCTTGATGATATGCCAGAGGGAATATTCGACACATGAGTATTATCAGCAGTGTGGGAAGTATCATCCTTAAATAAAAAAAGAAATAATGTTGTTTAGTAATATAAAGGATAACATATATAAGAGTAAATGATGTAGTAATGTAGTTTACCTTACAACCCACTGTTTCTTGAGATGCAAATTCTGAGCCATTTATTAACAGATTTAGTATCCATGTCCTATAAAATTAATGATAAAATAAAACAGTATGTTGGGTTAAGGAATCTAGGAAATAGTATTTTCAAAATATGTATGTTCTAAATTAATTAAATTGGTGTATAGTTACCTGTTCAATCCTACTCTTTTTCTCGATTTTCTCCAAAGCAGAAATAATGTCAACATTATCCGTTATTTTGGAAATGTTGTAAGAACGACCAAATCTTGAAACATTAAATGTCTTGACAACAATCTTGAAAGCCAATTTTTTGTCGATCATGGCATTCAACTCAATAGGAAACTCACTTGTATTGCCAAACTACAAAAATATATTAAAATAATAACAATTAAATCAATGTGTGAAAATTAGGTTGTATTTAGCAAGATGGTATTGCAATAAGAAACATATACCCTTTCATATTTTGATAATAAATCAGCAGCAGATAATTTCAGAATATTTCTGACTTCACGATCAAAGATCGTAAGACTCACAACACCAACTAAACCTTGAACTCGAACTTTGATCATAAAACTAAAAAACACATAAAAATTTTAAAAGTTTAAATTAAAATAATAATATTGAAGAATAATATACTATGTTAATATTTATTACACACCTTGGTTCAGCAGTAATAAGTTTGTCCTTGCACTTTTCATTTGTACAAACCATAATCTCTTTCTCTTCTAACTGGTCCAAGCCATTGACCGTCTCATCTGAAACCTTAACTATTTGAACCTTTGACTTGCAATGTTTGCAAGCATTATAATACCAGTTCCGTGTATCTTCAAACATCTTTATTGTGCCAAGAATTACCGCACAACCTCCCTATGATATTAGGTGTATTTAGGTGTATTAAATATTTAAGTGTTGAATTAACTAAATAAAAAAAGAATAATTCATATACCTCGTTCAATTCGTGAATAGCGGATATTTGGTGAAAAGAGTTTTTTTGAAGAAAGTCATCATGTAGTGAATACATGATGGATGAACCCGAGGTACGTGAAACCGAGGAAGTCAAAGAGCCTTTTTTTGCTTGTAAACTAATTAAGATAATTAATGTTAGATAGTATAACTCTATATTATTGAAACATTAAAACGTAATGAGAAATCATGTAGAAATTTCACATAACCTTTTTTTGAAAGTTGTTATCTCCTCAATGTTCTTTCAATATAAAGTTTTGTGGCCAAGTAGGTGTTATTGACATAAGGACGATCTGAAAATGAAATTTAATAATTTTCCACATGTTAACAAATTCATATCATAGATATGTTATTAATATAAATATTACAAATTAAAATTTACTAAGTAAGTACCTCGGACAAGCTTCAACTTAGCACATTGAATAAGCAATACAAAATGACCGGTATGCTTAGAGACATATGCATTAATTTCATCAGCATACCTTCCCCATAGGGTAACAAAAACTTCATGTCCTCTGTAAAAAATGATGAAAATTACTAAAAAAATATATAATAAAAGAGTAATTATAGGTATAAAAAATGAAACCCACTCTAAATCCTACATTTTGAATGTGATTTTCTTTTCCTGTCTATCCTTTGCAGGTTCCAATGGAAAACACCGGAAAACGTTTCCAATAACATCTATATTATACAAAAGAAAAATGTAAGTATGTTTTTTTGTGGTGTAAAAATGAAATTTAAATATTTTTATCCATTAGGAATGGGTTGAAAGGAAATGCACTAACCAAATGAAATTTTTGGGTTTATTGCATTATCATGAAGTTGTTGGAAGTCTGCAAAATCAAAAGAATTCTGTGGCCCGCAAAAATCTATGCATTTAGTTACCTTCGTGTTATACTGGAAATAGAGTTTGTGTGGACCGTCAACAAACTTTATAGCACCTTCATTTAACCCTAATGTGGGTTTATGAATGTAGTAATCACCATATTCTTCAAAAGATTTTCCTTGAAGCGATGCAAATGGTTTGTCCACATTACATTCAATTTTTGAGCCCTTAAGATAAAAAATCAAATATTAATTAATAAGCATACAATAAATGTAATGATATATAAAATATGTAAGTTATAATACACATACATATAATTGTAAGTTAACATACGTAAGTTATAACATACCATTTCATCCATCAATATCATGTCAATCATACGAAGTTGTTGATTCCATGAAGTTTGTCTCCACAAACGGATGACACATACCTTAATGGTATAGTCATCTTGTGAGAGAGCCAACTCACTTATCATGCTAATCTTCCTGTTTTCCATTAATCTATGCAAGAATGTAGTAATGAACATAAGAAAACACCATTTTAATTGCATAAATGACAAAACATTTAGGTCAATCATGTACCAAATGTGTAAAACTGTCAAATAAGGTTAAAGAGAAATCATAATGACTAAAAATTATTAATTTACAAATATATTAGTTTACAAAGGTATTAAACATAACATGAGTAATCCGAAGATACCAGAAGTGTCCCACAACTATAATCAAAACATACGATGTTCAACAGGCTCACCATATTGTAGGGGAAAAAATTGTATTCGGTATCTTCCGAGGAGAGTTACTTTATTTGAAGTTGTTATAAAATGGAATTTTCATTTTTTTTTACATAAAACAGTAAAACAAAGTCGGTTCTGCAGATTGAAGATATGCAAATAGACATTTAGGTCAATATGGACCAGACGTGTTAAATAGCCAACAGATTGTAAAAATGACGTTTTTGCCCCTTGCTCATAGAAAAATCATAAATAGTTGGGGACAAAAAAATTATTAGTATTTTTCACTTTAATCAATCAACATTAAAACATAAAAAATCAACAATAATAGTGATAATAGACCATCCTATTCCATATTTCCTGTTTCCATTCCATCACACCAAAAAAATATAACTACTTTTAAATAAATAGCAAAACAAAGTCAGTTCTGCAGCAATGCCCAAAATACAAAATATGGAATAGTAAACAAAAATATAACCACTTCCTTTTTTGCTATAATAAAAGCATATTTGTTTTGAAAAACCATCCCAATTAAAGCATACCTTTTTTGTAGTTTTTTTTTTTCTAATAACACCTGTAACAGCACTGATGTTATCATGATTCTAAGAGGTATTCAGTTTGTTAATCTGCTATGGGTAATGAAACAACTGGAGTTATGAAGAATATTATATGTTTTTTTTGAATTGTAAGTAGATTGAATGTATGCAAATTCACATTTAGGTTAATATGTACCAAATGTGTAAACAACCAAGAAAAATGTAAAAATGACATTTTTGACCCTTGGTCATACAAAAAAGTAAACAGTTGGGGACAGAAAAAAAGTATTTGTATTTTTCACTTTAATTAATCTACATTATAACAAAAAAAACAATAACAGTGATATAGAGTATTTCATTCCTTTTCCTGTTTCCATTCCATCACATGAAACAAATATAACAACTTTCAAATAAGTAGGAAAACACCTAAAACAGCATAGTTGAACAAAAACATGAATAACAATTATTTTTTTTTAATATATTGCTGTAAATGGTTTCAATTTTGATTCCCAAGGTTGAAAGCAAGGACTTAGGATGGAAAACAGGGGCTTTTATAAGACAATTTATTTCATTCTAAGTCTCCTGTTTAACAAAAGTCTACATAAAAAATCCTTGTTCATCTTATTTATTTACAGCTTCAATGTTGCTCCAGAACTTATACATAGAGAGTTACAGACATTTAATCATACGTTTTAACGCCCCTGTTTTCATCTACCACATTTTGATAGATGGAATGAAAACTCAAAAGTCAGAATCATGAGTTTTATATTGGATTGATTTAGGAACATAAATAGTTAAACACAAACACACATGAACATAAACAGTTAACGCACACACACGCATACACATTGAGAAGATGTTAAAAAAACAACACACACATTAAAAAAAACACAAGAAGAAACAAAAGATAAACAAACAATTTAAAAGTAGTTTTTTTATAAACTTATCGAATGGATTGAACTCTGTGATTGAAAAGAAGATTTTCCACTGTGATGATGCAAAACTTTAGAAGACGATGCTGTAAACTCAATATTGCAAGAGACAGTGATAACAGATGAATAGAATTGAGTTATACATAAAAAGTAATTTATAAAAATGATTTTTGGAAAGGATGTAAAAGTTTGATACATTCCTTGCAAAAATTACGTGAGTGAAGGAATGTTTCAAAAGTTTCTCCAAATTAACGTTATTTTTAAAGGGATTGACAGAATTTTGTTGATGATAATTAAAAAGGTTTATTTGAAATTAATACCTCCCTTGCAAAAATTACGTGAGCTTTTAAGTAGTTATTGACTTTCTTTAAATTCAGGGAAATTGATATATTGTATTTTCATTACGGATTTTTTAATTTAAAAGCAAAAAATTAGAATTTGCCAAGTGGAATTAAAGGTAATTGGAAAAATAGATAAAATGCCATGTGGCATAGTGAATAAGGTGATGACATGTGGCAATGTTATTTTCTTTTATTATGGTAGATTTATTAATAAGATATGAATAAATACAAAAGTTATTTAACCTACTTTACAACAAATTTATTACGATTGTGTGAAATATATATATATATATATATATATATATATATATAGATATATATATATATATATATATATGCTTAGGTTATTCTATTCTAACTAATTATTGTGGACGTATGGACAATGTTATTCTTTGAGAATGATAAAGAAAATATGTTGTTTGATAATATAAATACGTTCAATCTTACATAACTATTGTCATTAACACACATTCTCACTAATTAAATCGTCTATAAGGTTATTATACACTTATTATTATGATTCTCATTTCTGTCAGAATGTTGTCAGAATGTTTATTGAGTCGTATTCTGTCAGAATGAAAATTAGTGAAAAACGATGTGTGAGAACAAAAATAAATAATAATTAGCGAGAATGCATGAAAATGACGATATTTTTGTAAGGTTGAACGTATTCGATTTGCTAAACAACTTATTCTCTTAGTAATTCTCATAGAATAACATTGTACACACATCCACACAATAATTAGTTAGAATACTTGAACCTAGCTCTCTCTCTATATATATATATATATATATATATATATATATATATATATTATATAGATATTATAATATATATATATATATATCCTATTTTAATCGTTATTGCATCGAGACTTGCTACTTTCCTGAGTTTGTACTTTCCCTTTGTGGTATGAGACCTATTCTGAATACTCATGGGGAGATGCATGTCCTTTAAGTTAGTTCTCCATGGTGAGTCTTTTAATATGGTCTTTTTTCTTAATTTGGTGTATTATTTGTAAGCCATTACATAATCATTAAATACTTGTGTTTAATGTTAATGTATTTATCCTTATAAGCAAGAATAAATCCACTTTCAATCTTGTTGCTTACGTATATGGTAAGGCTAGGCTTCATGATATTATTGTTGAGAGAATCATATCGACTAACACCTTTCGGTTAATTCATGTTGAGCCCATCGAGTCGCCTTTTAACCATGTTGAGTTAAATTTCAGATTTCTTTCTTTGAACCAAATTCTTATGTCTGACAATGTGTATTTGGAAGGCTGTTTTTCCATCTACTAACCAATCTTGAGTTAAATTTCAGACTTCTACTTTCGGTCAAGGCATAGTACTTGCTTCTGCCGATCTTCTGAGTATTGTCCTTGATAAACCGAAACGCGCCTTCCCGCGGAGTTATTACAATTTGGTTTCAAAATAGTTTAAACATTAGAGTTCCCAGAAATCATAATCATCAATCGAGGAAGTGTACGGTCATGCCTGCGCCTTCCCGCGGCCATCCGCTGAACCTGAAACAATAAACTGAAACTGTAAGCCCGAAAGCTTAGTGAGTTACCCCCAAAATACCCATACACACAACAATACACATACAATAACAAACATCATACTATTGGTCCAATCATCCATCGGGATGGAATACCCCATGCCCTCAACCATCGGGTTGGAATGCCAACATACTATGAGTCCAATCATCCTCGGGATGGAATACTCTCGGGCCACAACCATCGGGTTGGAATGCCCACACACAATACATATATAACAGATACTATGGGTCCAATCATCCATCGAGATGGAATACCCCAGGCCCTCAACCATCGGATTGGAATTTCAACATACTATGAGTCCAATCATCCCCGGGATGGAATACTCTCGGCCCACAACCATCGGCTTGGAATGCCCACACACAATACATATATAACAGATACTATGGGTCCAATCATCCATCAGGATGGAATAACCCAGGCCCTCAACCATCGGGTTGGAATGCCAACATACTATGAGTCAAACATGTGCACCTATACCAGATAATCATATAGCAGTCTATAAAGACAACATACTAGGGTCCTATCATCCTCGGGATGGAATACCCTCAACTACCAATCAATCATGAGTACGTATAACAGGTAATCTCCTACCAACATACAGACAGTCAGACCAAACTATAGGTCACTAAGCATAACCACATCCGATCTACCAGGGTACCGATCTAACATATCATACTAGCATATAACCATCCGATCTACCAGAATACCGATCTAACAGATCATACTAGCATATAACCATCCTATGTACCAGGATATCGATCTAACAGATCATACTAGCATATAACCATCCTATCTACCAGGATACTAACCTATCACAACAGTAATAATCCCAAATAACAAATCAAAGGGTCGGCCTTGGTGCCTTAGACCCTTGAGTATAGTGAGGATAACTCACCTTGCAACTGTCGACTCGAAAGATAAGCTCAAACTCTCGGATCACCGCCACAACTCCACCACCTATATTCACCATAAAACCATACTCATAAATTCCAACTTCCCACAATGCCCCAGAAGTCAAATAGACAACCTTTGGCCAAAGTCAAAGTCAATGATCAAGGTCAACAATCCATGTTGACCCGACTCGTCGAGTGCAGTCACTGACTCGTCGAGTCCTTCCAGAACTCGAGTAGTCGTGAAAACCCCCAAGTGACTCATCGAGTTTCCCTGCAAGTCATCGAGTCCAAGCGTGTCCAAATGTCGGGAAAACCCAAGTTGACTCGCCGAGTCACCCCTCCGACTCGCCGTGTCCAAGCAGAAGTCCTTGCACGACAATCTTCATCGGACTCGCCGAGTTGACCATGCAACTCGCCGAGTCCATTCAATCCACTATCCATTTAGATGCTTTTTAAGCTATTTTAAGGTTCCATATAGCAGATCCAGCTTCCCAAGGCA